AAATTCTTTCCTGACCCCACATTTGGCAAGCAGTTGAAACCTAACTGTGTGAATGACTCGCCAGACAAGCACCTTAGTGTTTTCAGTGGCCCCAGGAGCACCAGCATCCCCAAAGCAACCTCCCAGTTTAAAGAGAACTTCCTCCAAGGAAAGGGGGAGCTGTTTTTAGACATAATAATGCAAGAGGTTTCAAACTCAAAGCAAATGATTAATGGAAATATGCCAGATCCAGATCCCCAACTAGCATAAATCAGCCCAGGTTTTTTGACTGCCAAGGCATTGTACTGGCCTCTGGAACAAACACAGGTTTGAGTAATGAGAGAGATGAGCAGGTCAGGCTCATTGAAAAAAATAAAGCTCAAGAAGTGTGCTTTAAAAACCCTAGAGTATGTCCTGACGTATCTGTGTATTTCCTGAAAACAGCCCTGGCATGATTCAGTTCATGCAATCTGGAAGAAAAAAAGTTAAACCCTGCTTTGCCTCCCTGACCTGGATGACACAGCAAAGCAACCCCACCCAAGAATTTTCTTTGCCTCACCCTGTTATGAAGCAGTAGACATATCTGCATAGCTGTCAGGTATATATCACGGCTACTTGGTCAGCAAAGTCTGCCCTGAATGGCCCTGTGCCTGAGCAGACTGGACTGGTCTGCTTCTGTTCAGTGGTGAATGCACTGTGTTGTGCTAATGGCATTTCAGTTAAAAGGCTTCTGCTTTGTTTTTGAAAGGGAAACACAAAAGGCATAAATAGACTCCAGCAGGTCAGCTAGAAAAAAATCAGATCTCTCAAAGCAACAGAGATGCATCAGTCATAGTTTAATCCTAGATGTTTCAAGAGACTCCATAGTGATACTTGCTGCTAATAGAGCACTGAGCCACTGAGGCACAAGAACATCTGCTTAACTTTACGTGTATAAGTAGACCCATTGTTTTCAATGAGCTTGAACAAGAGCTTTGCTGAATCAGAGGTTGAGCAAACAACGATATAATCCTGAAGGGAGGGAGCATGAGAGTAGCACAGATTGTTTATAGACCAAGAATGGTACAAGGTTTATGACAAGTGACTCCCCACATGTGAATTGCTGGCCTGCACCTCAGTCTCAGTCCCTAAATCTAAGCTTTCAATACAGAAAATATTCTAAAAGCATCCTACTGTTTCTGACATCCATTATTCACCCCAGTGTCAGCAATATGAGTAATCCTGTGTTAACCACCACTCTAAGCACCGAGGTCCCAGAACAGGAAAACACTTCTCTTCACAAAGGCACTTAAGTACATGCCTGAAGCTAAGCATATGCAGTTTATGAAAGAGATTGTATGATATACTTGCTTGTGATAGCAAAGATATGGACAAAGTGACCCAGGCAGTCACTTCCAGCTCTATGTTCCTAAGTAACATGAATGATGCATGCCCCCGGTGGCTGGGGGGGCACAACGGTGGCGGAAGCGTGGCGGCAGTAAATAGGAGCTGCTGCAGAAGCTGCTGGCACTGTCAGCATTGGAGGGGCGGGGGGGTGGCAAGTGCCGACCAGGGGTCAGCAACCATCCATAGATGCTGCCGGCAGCAGCAGCCAGTGGGGATTGCTGACTGCCCACAGATGCCACCAGCGGTGTCGGTGGTGGGGAGGGGGAGGTGGTGAGCAGCGACCACCCGCAGGCGCTGCTGACAGTGTTGGCGGCACCTTTTTGTAGGGGGTGTGCTGCCATGCTCGGGGGTGCACGTGTACCTGCATGCACCCCCTACGCATCGCCCCTGCTGAGCAAACAGAAATTAGTTGGTGAATAAATGATTAATTAACTCTCCCCTGAAAAGGTGTAACTGGCACAAAGCTTACATTTAGCAGATGGGCGATTTGGGTTTGTGGATAAAGTGCTTTAGGGTTGTTAGTAGGGCTGCGTGAAACAGCACTGTTTCATTTCAACTTCTGTTTCACCGTTTTGATGGGACGGTGTATCATTTTGAGTTTTGTTTCATTTTGAAGCACTGTTCTGTTTTGTTTCATCAAAACTGTTTTGCTGTTTCAAAGTTTCGCCTATAGGCTATAATGGGGAAGCACAAAACTGCCTATAACTTTGTCATTCCTTGCCTGATTCAAATGAAAATAGCAGTAGCCCCCGCTGAGGCCATGAAGCCTGACAAGTTTCAAGGAGATAAGTGCAGCAGTTTCTGGGAAACTGCACCTCAAGCGGCTGACAAGCAAAACTTGTGACGTGTGACTGTGTGTTAAGGTTAGCTCTCACTGGTGCTGGGGCCTCTACACCACACAGTAGTGTGCCCCAGTGAGGTTTCCTCCTCCCCTACAGCCTCATCCTGGTCCACCACTTTAAATAACAACAGGTAATAACTTGGTAAGCAGCACAGTAGCATCAGCAGCATCTCAGGCAGCCAAACTGTCACAGATTAGAGACTTTCTTTTGTCTCCTGCAGGAGCTGCTTCTCCAGCAGCTGCCAGAGAACTCTCCCTGCCAGCCCCAGCCCAGGGGCTTAGATGTGCCCAGGGCCCTGCATCCTTCGGTCAGGTGCTAGGGGTGTTGGTCTAAGGACATGGCACTGACACACGAGGTTGTTTGGGTCAATGTGCTATCTTTTAGTAGACCAACTAACTAGTTAGAGAAATATATCTTAGCAAGGTTTTGGGTTGAAAAACTCTTTGTCAGGCTAAGGAAACACCTGCAGTTGGGGTGTGTGCTGTTCCTGGATGGAAAGTATAGTAAAGAAGCCAGAGGCTGGCACACAGTGCAGGCAAGAAAGCCAGCCAGTGAAAATGGAAATGTCAAGGGGTGAAGGACAGGCTGGGGTGAGGGGGAAAAGGGGAGGTAGCAGCGCAGATAGAAGTGCAGAGGTACCTGGGGAATCAGATGTCTGTCAACTTGTAGTAGTTTAGAATTCCACTGTCTATATTGAGTCCATGAGTTTCTGTACGTAGGAGACTGATGAAGTGCAGTTCATAGACTCGTCCATGAAAAGTGGTTTGTTTGTAAATTCAAACAAGCACTGAACCTCACTAACCTCATCACCAGAAGCCAACTTCCTGCAGCCCAAAATGCACCAAATGGAACAAGGCTGTGCCATGACAAGGTATGGAAAACCTGCTAACAATATCGCCAGTATGGAGATATCTTCACAATACAATACATATCTCCCTGATGGAAGGTACGTAGGAGACACCAAGCAACAACTGCACACCAGAATGACTGTGTACCGGAAATCTATCAGGGACAAGAACAGAACACCACCTGTCTCCAATCTCTCAGGCCTGATCCTCAAAGGGGATTTACAAACCACTTTTCAGTTTTCAAATGAGCCCCCTTTCTTCCTTCTCTGCCTCATGGGGCCGTGCCGGCTGGTGTCTGGCAACACCCCTGTCCCTGCCCCTGCAGGAACAAGGGGGAAGTGCCAGGCAGACCCTGGCCTGGGTCTGTGCTGATGGGAAAGGGAGGGGGAAATTTAAACCTCCTCCCTAGCCAGTTCACTTGAGGCTACTGCTGGGGCTGGCCACACCCCTGTCACTGGAGCAGTGAGCAGAGAAATGCCTGGCAGGGGTTACCTGTCAGACCCTGCTGTGGTCCATGCTGGTGGGACAGGGGTGGGAGGAGGGAATAAACCTCTTCCCTGCCCCCTTCACCTTAAGGGGGCTGGTGTCTGGCCAGCCCCCTGCCCCTGCCCACCCCTGCTGCGGCTAGGGAGCAAAGGTGTGGGACGAGCCCTGCTCTGCCGGAGCAGGCAGCACTGCCCCGCCCAGGGCTGTAGACCATGCCGGGATGCTGGGGGACTCTGGTTTAAGTTAAACCACGAAGGGGTCTGGGATAGACATTACGTAAACCGGTTTGAGCTCAATCAGTTAAGTCTGATACTACATTCAGCTAGGATGATCTCAAACTGGCTTCAGCCATTTTGAAACCAGTTTATGTGCACTGGACGTATGTTCTGTTACAGGTCTAAACAGGTTCTGATCACTTAAACTAGTTCATGTGTAATGTCTGTCCCGAGCCCCTGTCTACATTTAGCACTGCCTACGCTAATGGCAATAAGGATGAACCATTATGATGAGCAACAGTAGAAATTTTTTGTTGACGAACAATCCTTGTGCAATGAATCCGTGTGTCCTGCATGTTCTGTGTCACTCTTTGGTGCCCCACCTACAGATCAAGTGGCATTTTCATATGCTCTGATATTGCTAATGTGTCTGGCAACACCCCTGTCCCTGCCCTTGCAGCAGTGAGGGGGGAGTGCTAGGCAGACCCTGGCTTGATACAGTTTTTAGAAAATGGACAGGAAAAGTGCCAAGAATGTTAAAAGAACTTCTAAGTTCTGGAAAACGTGAAGATCTTCATATAACATAGAGACTCTCCCTATGCCTGAAGGGTGTTTGTGCCCAAAAGCTTTCAAAGAACCATTTTTCCAACTATTTAGTTGGTCTAATAAAAGATATCACATCTACCCAAAGAACCCTGTCTTCATATATCGAAGGGATTTTTTTCTGCGTTCTTCTAATACTCTGTGCTACCCCAGCCTTTCCCTGGTAGTTTCTGAACTAACTGTTTCCATATGTCTGTTTTGTAAAGGACTTGCATTTCTGGGCAGGCCTGTGTACATATTGTGGTCAAAACAATGGACATTTTGGAGTGCCATGAAATGAAAGGTCTGACAGTAACTTAAGAATAGCTCCAAATCCAAAAATAGAAGAAACTACAGACTGTTGCAGGGAGTGAATAAACATACCAAGGGGGGGAAATTAGAAGCCAGCCTTGTTTAATCCACCTTCCCGGTTTACTGCTGCCTTTTCATCAGCTACCGGGCTCACTCCAGACCTACCATCAGGGAAGGGCCTTGGGATCCACCCTAAAGAGTAAAAACCGCCCCCACACAGCCTAGCCACATCCTATGCACCACAGCTGGGAAGTGGAGTCTAAATCCTCCTCTTTGCTCACAGTCTGACCTGATTCCAGGCAGTTGAACAACTACAAATCCCAGCATGCTCAGGAGGATCACTGAGCATAGGCATTGCCTCTGTTTCCTGCCAGAGATGGGAACTATAAAAGGCAGGCTGTTTTTTAAAAGTTCAACTGATTTGGATGCTGCTGCTGTTGGTGTTGCAGGGACAGAGTGGTCCTGGAGAGCAAAGGGAGCACACACAGTAAGTTTGGCTTTGTCGTAGCACTTGAATGCTTCTCTTGTAGCAGTTTGTAAAACAGCGTGCTCTAAAAGGAGTGTCAGCTGCCCTGCTGGTCCATTTGCTTTCACTGTACACCCTTCTCAGACGACATCCTCAGTGGGCTCTTCTCAGTCTCCAGATACATGCTGGACAGCCCCAAGACTCACTGGGAGGGTGAGGATGGGATTGGAAAGTGTATGTGTAAGGATACCAACTGGGAAATTAGCTAAATTTGGTTATACAGAAGCAGTCAGATTTATTTTGGGGTGGGAGGCTGGGAAAACAAGAGTCCAGTGTAATGTTTGTGAGACCCGAAGTTCATTTTCAGACACAAAGAGAGCTGTTCTGTCTTTAGCTCAGTGGCCAGCAGGCGAAGTGAGAGCCACTTGTTTTGGTTTCATTTCTTTTTTTTGCTTTCAGTCTCGGTGATGAGACCCAGGTAGATCATGTAGGTCTCTACTACGGTGCTGTGACGTCTTGAGATACTTTGAGACCCTTTCAAGGCTGCCATGGGACGCCACGCAGTGTTAGCACTGTGAGGTGTGTGAACCTGATAAACCCAGAGATTTCAAATACAAATCCATAGTGTTAAAAACATTTTGACCTGCTGTGGTTTTTCTGAGTTCTTTGCAAAAGAAAAGAGTCACTAAATGAGGGAAAGCTAAAAGCTAGCAGTTTCCGAGGGGTGCCTCGAGTCTAAAAAGCTTGAGAACCCGTGGTGTAGGTGAATGTTACAGGAAACCTTTCACTGCCAAGCAAGCTAATTTCCCCTGCTTGTTGTCCATCCCTTCACAATGCTATTCCTCCTCTGTTCTGATGGGAATTCCCTTTCAAATGCATTACATAGGCCTAGGATAGAGTCAGAGAGATCTGACTGCAAATCAGCATCTCCCTCAACAGCCTCCCGTTCTGATGCAGTCTGAGTACTGACAGATCTTCCATATGGCTGTTATGTGCTACAGTGGTGTGTAAGGGCTTTAAGGGTTAAGCTTTCTCACAGAGGCTATGTCTATACTGTTCCCTTGGTGCTCTCTTTGGAAAAGATGCTCTCAAGCACACACCAGCCACCCACTCCTTGCATGCATCAAACCTAAATGTGCACAGTGATCCCAGTGCAGGGGTACTCCCCCACTCCATGGTTGCTCTAGAGATGTTCATCTCTAGTAGGCTTGAAAGCAGCTGTTGGGGCGTCTCTGGTGCAGCTTCACCACTACAGTTCTAGATTTGGCAGGTAGAAATGGGAGCAGGTGAGTGGGCTGTGCTTGAACACACCCCTTCCCACACACGCAGCCCTGTGGACATGGGGCTGACATTTCCAGAGAGTCTAGGCAGGGCCCCATGAATCTCTCATTGCTCTGTCCAGCCGGAATAAATGGTAAAAGAAAATCTCTTGCAAGCACAGTAGCTCCCTGAATACCACATGGTCAAGCCAAGTTAGTCCCGAGGCTGCTGCAACTGTTGGCACCTTAAATGCTGTAACAACCCTCCTCCATTCCTCCTTGTGTGGTTGTAGACCCAGGCCTCAACCGATCCAGCATGAGGTTAGTTGAGTTGCTTTGTATCACTGGTGATTCTTTGGGCAAGAAGACCTACTGGCACCCATCTCCTCTCCAGGTATCGACGGCTGTTGGCTCACAGGAAGCATATCTGCCCTTTGACAGGTCTTGTTTTTAGTCCTACTGGGTGTCCACACATCCTCTTTACCCAGGCTAGCCCAGGTGTGGGCACTGGTTTAGTTACCGACAACCTAACCATGGAACAGGTTGTACTGGTTCACATGGTACCAGACAGTAGACCCAAGAGAGGCCTGGCCTGACAGGGGTGCACCACATCGTACTAGGAGGGAAAAAAGCCTGAGTGGAAGAACAATGGGGCAAGTAAAAGTCCTAGTAAAGCCAAACCTCTGGCGTGCTGGAAAGTATGATCAGTTGAAACAGTCCTTTGTTCTGTAGGCAGTGGGTGCCAGCCAAAGGAGGACAGTCAGAACATGACTTCGGCTAGTTGCTGGTCCTATAGCTCTTGCTGCGTGAGCAGATTGCAGTTAACTCGAACAAAGGAGGCTTTCTGTGAAACTGTATTAAAGAAGTCTGATGAGCAGTGCACTCCATATTAAGAGAGAAAGTTTTGAAAGAGGTGTTCTTAAGTAGAAAGGACAAATAAGGTGAAACCACAGAAATTTGTAACTGGTTTGAGGCTGAAGAACCTTGTAATTTGGAAGGGAGTCGGGAGCTGACTGAGTCCCTGGTAATAAACCAGATGGTGACTCGGATCTGGGACAAAATTACTGAGAGAGAGGCCACTGGGACATCCAGTATTAACTGTTGATTGAATCTGCCCAACAACAGAAGTCACTCCATCTAGAATTAAGCCTACATAAGGTGAACCATGCTCGTGACACTATGGACATGACAGAGAAAGCAAAATGGTACAAGAAATGACACACAGCTGCCATAAAGACAAGTGGAGCTCAAAGCTGGAGACCAGGAAAAACAGCACATGGAGCTACACAACACAAGCCAAGACAATGCTTGGCAATGTGGGAAAAGGTGCAAGAACTGCAATGGATTACAGTGCTTTGTTTGAGTTTGCAAGCACCAGCAGAATGTGCACAATGAGGACAAAGAAGACACAGACAGCACAACAACCTCAGATAAATTCTTCATAGGGATAGTGGACAATGGAGCAGCAGATGTTTAGACTATCCATGTAAAAGCAACTGGCACATTTATGAACTTAAGTTGGACATGGGTACACAAACCTGTGCTTTGCCAGAAAGAGAGAGACTATTCTGTGTGGCCGCTGCAGACAAGACAAGGATCAACAATCTTAAATTGGGAAATTTAGATTAGACATTAGGAAGAGCTTTCTCATTACGAGGGTGATTAAGTGACAGAGCACACTGCCTCCAGAGGTTGTAGAATCTCCATCCTTGGTAGTTTTTAAGAGCAGTTTAGACAAACACTCGTCTAGGATGGTTTAGACAGGAATGATCTTGCCCTGCTCTAGACCTTGCCTAACTAGATAATCTGCTGAGGTCCCTTCCAGTCCTATTTGTCTGTGATTTAGAAATAAAAGTTAACAGGTGAAGATCCTTCAGGGATTGAAAAAATCTAAGAAAAGAACAAGAGACATTTTATAGTAGCATTAAATGGACAGCAACACAAAGGAAAAACTTAAGCTTTGTCACATGCCAAGAATACAGGCCAAGACAAGTGAAAGGGCCCATCCTAGTGGTATAGGAAAAAATGGTTCCCTGAGGCAAAACAGGCAGAAGGTTATGTTGGCTGGAATAAAGCTCTGTATATGTTTTAAACCACGGATGCTCAACCCCCAGCCTGCAAGCCAAATGCAGCCAATGATCCCTTGGAATCTGGCCCGCAGGGCTCTTCACAGGCCGAGAAATGTGGCAGCGGGAGAGCAGTGGCACTGTTGCCACAACTCCTTGCTGTCAAAATCCCAAACTCCATAGGGAGGGCAGAGCTGGGCCACAAGCCACCCCCTGCACAGCCAGACTGGGGTTGGGCCATGCCCCTGCTTCCCACGGAGTTAGGCTATGCATCCCCCCCGCCTCACAGGGTTGGATTGGGACCAGGTCATGCCCCCCTCACAGCACATGGCTGAATCAGGGCTGGGCTGCCCACCTCTGCATGGCTACATGGGGCCCTGCTGCACCTGTCCTAGGCACCAGACTGGGTCCACTGGCTGGATCTGACCGATGGAGGGAGGGATTGGGCACTGCCCATTAGGCCTGCTGGCCAAAAAGTTTGAGCACTACTCTTCTAAACTAGTCTGACTTCCCTGAGATAGTCTGACTAGTTTGTATAACCCCCAGTCCAACAAGCTGTTGGAAAACCTACTAATATAATAAGGCAAATCCTGAAAAAATTGTGGAGTCAGACTCTGATGCATATTCACCACATTTAGCTTACAGAAGAGCACCAACAGAGAAGGAGTTGTCATCTGCTGCTGTTTTAACTGAAGGCTGAACGTAAGATTGCCTGCACTGTTAGGCTGGGGACAGAAGTTACACAAAAACCAATTTAAGTGATCAGAAACTAGTTTAAACCTATAGCAGCAGAAGTTCTTATAGTTTAATAGTTCAGTGCACATAAACCAGTTTCAAAATGGCTGAAACCGGTTTAAGATAAACCTGGCTGAATATAGTATCAGACTTAACTGATTGAGGTGACACCAGTTTATGGAACTTCTGTCCCAGACCCCTTCCTGGTTTAAGTGAAATCAGAGTCCCCAGCATGCTTTGCAGCCCTGGGCTGGGCTGTGCTGCCTGCTCCAGAGAGCAAGGCTGGCCCCACCCCTCTACTCTGTAGCCAGAGCAGGGGCATGGCCAGACACCAGCCGACATGGCCCCCTAAGATGAAGGGGACTGGGAAGTACAGTACAAAATCAGCAGGTGTACTAAGCCTTCAAACCTGGTGAGTTGAGTTTTGGGGCCTGTCATCTAGCATTTTCCCAGCAAGGGTGGACCTTGAGCATCCTGGAGGTGAGGTATATTCACAAACAGACATATAGCATGTAATTCCAGGAGTCCACCGAGCTCATAGACCACTGCATTCAAATCCCCAAAATATAGTCTTTTCTCTTTCTTAATCTACACTCCCTTTCTTCTGCTGTAGTCCAGAGAGAGACCAGCTATCTGTGCACTCCCTATCCAAATTCATGGAACCCCACATTTGGCTCTATCTTGGTGTCTACAGATTTAAGTAACCATGACTTTGGCTGGTCTGGGAGTTACCTGACTTACGTCGACTATAGTTACTTGACTTATGTTAACTATAGTTACTTGACAGTGTTGGCTATAGGTGTCACCGACATAGATTAATGTATGCATCTCAACTTACTGAATTTAGCAGAGTCTGGACTTTGGCTCTGTTTTTACTACCCAGGTTGAGTTAACGGGTCTATTTTAAATAGTTTCACTGCAGAGTTTAATACCATAATTAAATACGTACGTATTCCGTTTATGAAAGTAGCTGTTTACGCAATTAGTTAATTTCCTCAGGATTGCTTAAGTACTATACTAAAAACTTCCCTTTTGTTGAAAGACCAGCTTTTTGTACCAGATGCTTTGGGTCAAATTTTGTCCTGGTATATGCCAGGTGGATTTTGAAGTGTGTTAATCAAAGAATTTTGCTCTTTGAGTCAAATGCACTGAACACCCACCTAGGGTCTTACATAGCACCAGTGAAACCCATTGAGTTAGGGAAGTATTGTGCACATTTTGCAACTGGGAAGTGAGGTAGAAAGGGATTAAGTAATTTCCTCAGGAAAACAACAGGAGTCTGTGGCAGAGAGGAACTGAACCTGGAGCTCTACGCTCCCATTCTCCAGAAAAACCTTCACTCCAAGACTGTCATTGATCATTAGCCCTAAATAGGCACTATGCACAGAGAGCAGACATGCAAGAGGTCAATTGTTTATTTGTACCACAACTTCTTTTTTTCTGACCAGTTTTGGAGATTAGTTCTAGCACTAATTACTTACTTTCTGTAACTAACTAGTACTTCAAAAATATCAAAAGCCGGTATGGGCTGAATAGCAGTCTGTTTCATAAATTTGATAATGGCCAGATTAAATTGGAATGGTTTATCCTGTATTCCTACTGCTGGACCATTGGTTACAACTTGCAAACAGCCGGTTAATGACAAGAATCTGTGACAAAAAATGTGTGACAAATCTGTGTCATCTCCTGTGACAAAAATACTTATCTGTGTTGCATCAGTCCACTAACTTATTTTCCCTTGTTTAAGGTTGGAGATAGAAGATGGCAGAGGCTGACGGCACAATTATCAACACCAGCGTGAAACAGGTAAAAACAAAACGAAAAAAAACCCATTTGATTTAACATGTTATAGTCCGTATTTCAAGAACTTAATTTCAGGGCAATGTTCCAAAATTCTTGGGTTTCTAGATGAGCACAGTCCAGTCTTCTAAGCACCGAGCTGAGAGCTAAAAAGTGCAACTCTTAGTGAACCTTATGGGATCTCTGTGTTGAAAATGGTGGAAGGATTGAACCCTAGTTGCAAAAGAGTGGATGAGACTAGATTCATTTGCAGAAACTTCCCTTTGCAGTGGCTGAGCTGAGCACTCTCAAGTGCATGCGTCAATTAAAAAATACTATACTATTATTGACCTTTTATTATTCTTGCAAGGCTGGGGCTGAGCTTACAAGAGTGGGGCCTAAATGCCAGTGAAGTGAGATGTATCAGTAACAGATAGTGTAGCTGGACCATGATGACAACACACATCACTAGATGTTTGTAAAGCATGTGCCATGGCTGTTGGAATCTACAGCTCTGCAAGGATAATGCCCCCAGGTCTGCCAAAACTAGGGAGCCACCTCCTCAAATTTAGGCAGTCCCCAGATAGACAGCAGCTTTTGTCACTCTTGGCAGCTGAGTTGGGGGTCACATGGTTTCCAACCTGTCTGTCTTCTCTGGTTTGAGGGGTAAGCAGTAAATACCATGGGTGTTCACTGCATCTGCATCTCCCTCAGTATTCAGCTGCCATGTAGAGGCTTAAATCTGAACTTATCCTGGTCAACACATTGTATGTAATAAGTGAGCTGTTTATGGAATAAGTGTCCTAGCCCATGTCCGTTCCTGTCTGGTCTCACCTCAGAGAACTGCTTCACTCATCAGGTATCTTGCAGTTGACACCAGCTTAGTCTCAGCTGCTGTGATGGACAAGACTTAAATGTACACGGATGCCCACAACATCCAGGCTCTGAAAGGGGGACTCCCAGTAGTTGGAGACGTAATGTAGTGACATTCAGGGGTAACCTGTAGTAGCAGTGATACTGGCGGACCAAAGAAGGCTGGATAAGAGAGATCAATGGCTGTGCCTTTTCCAGACTTTTATTTTCCCTCTGAACTGCCTCTTGCCTAGGGTGACTGGCTGCCTGTGGTAGGAGAGAGGGAAGTTGAATGAATAGGAGCTAATGTAGAGGCAAGGCAGAGAGGAAGAAAATTGCTGCAGTGTCTAATACCTTGAGTCACCAGTGCCAGTAGAGTAGCGTTCTTATGCAGTTGCTTGGGTGGTTGTGTTTAAGAGCCCAAGATGTAAGTGGGAAAAATGCTGTGAGCTCCTTCTTAAGTCCATTCCTTCTTTTTGGCTGTTCCCTTCATAGAAAGACCCAAATGAGGCGCTGGTCATTGCTGTGACAACTAGAGCCATCTTCAACCTAGAGGAGGAACACGAGCTGTTCCTGGCAAAGGGCAAGGAGGAGTTTGTGAGGCACCAGCAAGCCAATCAGGATAAGCCCCTGGAGCCAGGTACAGCCTTCCCTTTCATTCAGGTGAGACACCAGGAACAGACTTGGCTCTGATCAAGGGATGGGAACTTGGCTTGTGGTCTTTTGTTTTTTCAATCTTTACAGTCTTTGCTTAACTCTGGGAGGGATTCTCCAATCACTCATGGGGAAGTATCAAAGTCTCCTTTTACATAGGTAGGACACTTTACCCACAGTCGGGTTACCAGGCCAGCTGCTCTCATCAGACCAAGATGCTCCACCTTAGGTCTTAATGAGCATGAGGTGTGGTTTCTGCTGCCATTGAAGTGAAGCAATTTGCTCAGCAACATGCCTGGCCTGGCTGTTTATAGAAGTCAAGCTCTTTGCCATTGTTTGCCATCATTTAGGCATTTATCTCTAAGTTATCTGTCTTTGTTTACTTGGGGGATATGGGGATATACTACTGACTCAGGAAGCCAGGCACTGCACAGTGAATGACTGGCCAGCCTGGAAAGTGCTCCGGTGGGTTTCTTATTATTTAATGGTTAAGGTATACATAACAATTCCCCTGCCACACCCAGGATGACAAAGGGAAGTCTGTACACTGCAGGTGACACTAGTTTCTTTGCTGCAGTCTTCCTAGTAACTATCTAGGAAAGGAAAGTTTGAGAGGCAGCATTAACAAGAACACTAGCCTGAAGAAGTTTCTTCCTGAGAAAGGGCCTTTTACCAAAAACATGGAAGGAAGATGACACCATGGGACACTGGTGACTTCTGAAAGTAGGGAGGCAAGTTGCATGTATAGTATAATAGGGATAAAAAAACCCCACAAAATAGTGCTGGTCTCCTCCTGGTTTCCACTCAGATGTAGAAGCCTCAGGAGTTGTTATTACCATTGCTGGTGGGATTTGTAGGTCTTGCAAGGCTGAAAAGAGGGCAAGGGTAAAGGGACCTCTCTTCTCCACAGTGAAGAAGAGTCTGGAGAGGTGCAACAGGAGTATCTCTGCTGCGATTTGGCCCTCTCCTTTACCTCCCTGGGGCTCCTCGCTGCCCCCTTCGCTCTGGGGCTCCTCACTATCCCCCTTTGCTCTGGGGCTGAAGCCAATGCACCCCAAATTCTGCACCCCTTTCTGGCACCAGGACCCCCACACTACTGTGGAGTCCCTATGAGGCCTCCTCCAACCCCTAATAGCCTCACCCGGTCCTCCGGTTATAAGTAAACACAAAAAACCCAAAGCCCCTGGGCTATAACATAAAACCAAACCGTCCCGTCAAAACAACTTTCTACCCCTACCAGGAAAATACACCAACCCATGGCAGCAACCAGGGGATGCTCATGCAGTCGATCTTCTCCTTTCTCTCGACACTGGCCAAGCTCCCCCCTCCTTGGCCGCCAGAGGGGAACTGCCCTCCTGACCTAATGCCTGGGCTTAAGAAGGGCCAAGCCCTGCCCCTTCCTGTCTGCTGGGTCCCTTGGTTGCCCTAGGAACCAGTACCTGTGCTGCTCTGGTGACTGGCAGTTGAGCCTCCCCCTTCTCGCCACTAGGGGTCTCTCCAGAGCCATTTCTGCTTTCAGGCGCAGGGCACCCAAGTGCCCTGCAACAGGTGGGGACAAGGCATATTTGCTATGCTCCCTTGTATGATGAAGAGAGAAACTGTAGGAAAAAGGCAAGAGTCCCAACCCTGTCCTGTCAGTGGGCCTGAGACAGAGCCAAGGAGGAGGAATTTGAAGAAGTCAAAAGAGTCTGGGAAGAGGCTGAAAAGAAGACCGGCTGGGTGGAGAGCCCCCAAAGGTGGGCTGTTTGTAGCAGACCAAAAGCAGCAGCCTTGAGAGTGGAAATGAAGCATGGGCAGCTGTCTGTCAGACCTGATACCTGCTTTGTTGAGGCCTTGAAGGTTTCAGATGGTGGCAGACCAGCAGAGTCAGTTGCATTGCTTTTGCATCCCCAGAGAGGGGAGAAGATTGACAGGACCTGAACAGGAGGCTTTGTCTCGGAGTGATAGTGGTGCAGTTGACTATTGCTGGTCCCAAAGGGGTAGATTTTGGTTCAGGTTTAGCCAACAGGTTAAAGTACTCAAACCAAATTACTAAACACCTGCTCTCTGTTCAGGTTGGGATGTGACTACCAGAGCCTAGGGACCATAATGATTCAACATATTCACTGGCAGGATTGCTGTGCTGCCCTAGGTTAAAATCCCAGATGGAGTGCATAAGATAAAGCTGTTCGTTCCACAACAGTCTGTCCTTGTCTGAGGGAGCCACCACATCATGCAGACAAACAAGAAGATCTCCAGTTGCCTGCATTAATGCAACTTACATGCTCTCCAACCCTGGGAGGGATGTGTGCATGCATATGCTTATGTGTGCTCATGTATGCGTGTGTGATGCTGGAATTGTATGAGAGAGGATTGTGAGCACTTTTTTGTTTGTATGCAACTTGGAGAACAGTCACTATGGTGTCCCTTCTCTGTCTGTCCCAGGCAGTACAATATGTAAATCAGAAACTCCTGGAGAGAAACCCTGAGGAAAAGAAGCTTTTTGATGTCATTGTGCTCTCCAACAACAGCCCAGAGAGTGGTGTGCGCATTGTAAACAGCGCTAAGCAATATGGTAAGGAAGCCCCCTTCCCTCACTTTGATGCCCGCCCTCTTTCAGTGAACAGGGGAATTATCCTCTCCTCCAAGGACTTCTGTGAAATCAAAAAAAGGAGATCCCAGTAGCCCAGAAAGGGAGACAAGACCTTTGACTTTTATGAAATATATCAGTCATATGATAAATAAGGGAAGGGAGTGTAAGAATAGAATGATAGCACTGAACATGGTAGTAAAGTGTATGGGATACTGTATTTATCTGGAGAACGTCTGCCTCCTCCAGGAGGATGCTTGGGTGCGGAGTATAGTGGGTGTGAAGCCTCCACACTGTGAGGACACCATGTAACAGTGGCAATGCTGAAAGGATCAACCCATCATTTCCCATCATTGTGCAGAAGCAGTCAGGAAATAACAGTGTTTTGATACAGGGGGCACAACATTAGCCAGGGGCCAATTGAGAAGGGGTACACTGGCATGGCTGTAACCCTCGTTTTGACCACACAGCAGGAGCAGCAGATGAGGACTAAGTCCCTGAAGAAGTTAATAATTCCTTGGGACAGCAGTAGCAGGAGGTAAGGGAGGAGGGGAAGGGACATGCCTCTGAGCAAGGGTAGGGAATTATCTGCTGTGGGGACTTAAAGTCCCTGACTACTGTTCCTGTGGCACTGTCTGCCTGCCCTGGTGGGAGGTGGGGAAGGAGGCTGAGAGTGCAGGGTCTAGCCACCCCTGGAGCTCCCGTTGCTGCTTCTGCACCCTCCTTTGTAAAATCTTGGATCTGCTTCTAACGTTAGGGGAACACGGCCTGGGTGTGCACATGGGCCACGGCAGCAGGAGAGCAGTGGGCTAATGCCACAGGAATTATGTGATAACTCCCTGCGAGCTGGAAGGCCTCCCATGGGGACGGCCAGCTACACTGGGCCATACAACAGTGTGCCATATGCCTGAACTGTTGGTGGGAGTTCATTCAGTTACTATGCAGTGCTCAGGCCCACTCACCTAGCAGCATCTCACACAAATAGCATGAGACACTTGTGTGACCCAATCTGAGTCACACTCTTTCCTGGGGCAGTTTGAGAACTGACAGGGGTGGGGCCAGTTTGAGAACCTGGTGGGGGTGGGGGCAGAATATTGCCCTAGCTTTCCCTCTTCCTCTGGAAGAGCTTGAGTCTATCACCTTTCAAAGCATGTGACAGGTTTGAATGCAGTCTTAGCATCTTGTCCCTGGTGGGTGCAACTTTGTCAATGGGTAGCTTTTTACCATCACGTGGCACAAGTGGAAGCAGTCACAAAAAGAGCCCGTTCATCAGAGATTCAGGCCTGGAGGGTGTTGGGAACGTCTGGGTTAGGTGCAGGAACTAAGGGCTGGACAATTATATTTTGAGACCTGTGGGTTTACAGGAACAGAGGAGCAATAGACAGCATCAGAAGTACCCAGAACAGCTTCCAGCTGCTGGCTGAAATGACCAGAAGGCACTCTCATTTACTGAAAATTTTTGGCAAGTCCTAACAGTCCCCTTTACTGATCATCTTAAGCCTTGTGGCCTGATGAATAGAGTATGGTTATGGGATTTGAGCAAGCTGGATTCCATTCCCAATCTGTTGGGTGACACTGGGCCACTTACTTCCCTCCTCCTTTCCTCAGTTTCCCCATCTATACCATGGAGATCATGATACTGAGCTTCTTAGCAGAGGGCTTTGAGATGCATGGAAGAGAAGGCTTGCAGAAGAATTAGGGATCATCATCTGCATTGATTTTCCTTTCCTTTTTCTGATATGAAGGTTTGGAGATCTCCAAATTCTGCTTCGTCAGCGATGAAGACTCCACCCAGTACTTGAAGTCCCATAATGTCAAGCTGTTCCTCTCGGCTGACAGGACAGATGTGTGCAATGCCCTTCGTAGAGGTGTGTACTCTCTCTCTGTCCTCTTTCATCCCCTCCCCCTTTCAGGCTGCGGCACTCAAGCCTGGTGCCATTTCCCCAAATCATTGTCCTTACCAAGGTAGTGTCAAGCCTTGCACTTTCAGAGGAATTTATAACACGTTACTCAAAACTAGTTCTAGGCTGGAGCTTGATCTTTGATAGAAAACAATTACAAACAGAATGGTTGGCAATTCAGTGGAGACTGGGAGTCATGCAATGCCTTCTCACGGAAGTTTGATGGTGAATGTTTAATCAGTTGGTGGCTCTGTGGTACAGCTGGGCATGTACCTTGTTATCAATATATTATTGAAGAATTTACCACTCATCCAGGGAGTGTGGTTTCTCACATGTATTCAATATTCATTGAATAGCTTCTGTGGAAAGCTCTTTGTCTACAACCCAGCCATGAGCTGGGTGTTATGTGAATTTTGAGAGAGAGCCTCAAGCTGTTTTGACAGGTCACCTGCATATTCCTGCCCCCACAACAGAGCAAGAGTCATTGTGGATATCAGATTTCCAGGGCATCGTGACTATCAACTGAAAATTGCTAATTCAATTAAAAATGAGCAGAACCACTTTTCTTAAGATGGGTGGATTTAAGTATGTGCTTAACCTCTTTCAGGGAAGGGGAGCCCTTGGCAGGGTAGGACAGACACCTGCTGGAGAGTACTGGCTACAGCAGATGCAGAAGAGCCACAAGCCTCACTCCCTTAGTACCACTGGGGGCATTTTCAGACACTTAACATTTGAGTTGTGCATCTCCTCATGCCCAGAATGGTGCTGACTCTAGCTGCATAATTGAGCCCTATTTCAGGATTTGTTCTTGTCTGGAGAAGCCAGAGGTTAGAAGTCTTGATCCAAAGCCTATTAAAATAAGTGAAAGTATTTCCATAGAGGCAGTTGCCTCTGGATTGAGCCACAATAGAAGAAACTATGCATGTCCAGACTGTTCCCCACCGTCTCATACACAGACACAACATTTCCAAAATTTCCTGGTCTCAAGTGGGCATTGAATGCTTAGCCCAGGGCTCATATATTTCTGGGC